TACATCTTAAACAACCCAAGCGTCTGCTAGAGATGGTATAAGCAAGTAGGCCACAAAACATTTTCTGGGTCTCTTCACAGATCCATGCATTTTGGTCACACATGCATCAAAAACTACAGCCTATTATGGTCTTGAAGCCCCTCCTGCAAATTCACAACATAACAAAAATATTTATAGAGCATACTAACAATAGCAGCAGATGAACCTATCGGCATAAGACTCACAAGAGTGAACCCTACACTGATAATGTAGAGAAACAAAATATGAGAAATACAAGATACGGCATAGATCACAGTTTGGATTAGACTGCCCCAAAACCCATTTGAGAAGTGTTCTGCTTTAGTCAATGCACTGCAGTAATTATAATATGAACGAAACAAAAACAAACACGAATATCCTTGAGATAAAGCAACATACTACACCCATCATTAATTTTGTCAGTCTCTTATTTGTTTACTGAATAAATAACACTTATGAATATAACAATTGTACACCAAAATTTCATGTACCTAATATACACAACTGCACCAGTCATACTTATTTACATATAAATACGAAGGTGAATATACAAGTAGATGTACAGGTTTTAGGAATGATAATTATATACAGGGAAGGTTACAAGTATTTGGTGCAGCAATGGTGTTGCATCAAATATTTGTATACTTCCTGGTTGGTATCAGTCATACCTAAAATCTGTAGATCCATGTGTTTGTTGTGGATACCTATTGATCTCTGTATTTATAGGTAAACATATATACTTTAAAAAGAACAAGATTCAGTATGACAGAGGCAAATGAAGCAAGTGAAGAGAGTTCTGGAATAGTGTTAATAATTTAAAGGATTTTTTAATTGAGATTCTATCTGCATTAGAAATAATGAGAGAGGTCATTCTAGAAGTGTCAAAAATATTTCTGCAGCATTTTATACGTTGACATCAATGCTAGTAACAGATTCCAAGGTAAAGCTATGATGCTGGTTTATAATGTCTTTTTCAGGCTTCCCGGAAGGGCTAGAAAAGCCAGTTTTACACGATATAGACAAGAATCCAAGGAAACTGCATAAACGCAGTGCTGTGGATAAGCTCTGCCTCTTCGTTTATAATTATTCAACATTCTTGTGTTTGAGGAGGCACTGAGAAGACTATTAAACCCCAATCTGGCAAAGCATTTAAGCAACAGGACTACACTTGAATTTAAAGTTAAGATGTACTTAAGTGCTTTGCTAGATTGGGCCTACACTCTTGGTTGGATGCTGAGGGATAGTCATTAAGGGCCTGATCCAAAGCTAATTGTAGTCAATGGGAAGATTTGAATGCGCTTCAATAAGCTTTGGATCAGGCCTGATTTTCAAAGGTGTTGAGTTTCCACAACACTCGTTAAAGTCAACAGGAGCTGCTGGTGCTCAGCAACTCTGGGGCGCAAACAGAAATATTTCCATATATCTTTTTAAACAAATTGCTATTGTTCTTAAAAGTAATAAATGGTAATGATACAAGACATGGAGAAAACTGAAATATATTAGAGATGAGGGAACTATTTGTGGCAAACTAATATTTAGAGAATTTCATCGTTTTTCTTTTCAGGCAGCGTTTGTGAACAGACTTGGATTTTTACCAGTGTGTTCATTACTGAAGAGTATTCAATGACTGTTTCATTCAAATGTATTTCAGCCTATTTGTTTCTTGTAAAATTCACTCATAGCCTGCACTTGCTCTTTGTTCCTACCATTGTCACAAGGCTGCCTTTTGAGGGCCAGCTTCTAAATCTTGTCACTGGAAGCATAGTGAGTGTGGGGCTGGGTGCAGGAGGAGCATGTCACAGGCACAGCGGTGGTATTTTAGGCAGTTGCAGACAGGCTGCCATAACTTAGGCCTCCAGAGATATCTAAATTACGCCAGAGGCCGCAGCCAAGCCCAGTGCAGGATCAGGAAGGTGCCAAGCTGGCTTAAAGTCACCCTAGCCCCCACTCTCTCTTAGGGTACATCTACACTTGGAGCTAGGGGTGTGATTCCCAGCTCGAGTAGACATACTAGCGCTAGCTTATAGTAGGGTAGCTATGGTGGCACGGGCAGTGGTATGGGCTAGCCACCCTGCGTATGCATCCACTGGGTCTGTACTCAGAGTGGCTAGCCCTTGCTGTGGCTTGCCTTGCCTGTGAGCCCATGGGTACACTTCTGTTTTTAGCATGCTTGAAAACTAGCATGAGGGTGTCCACTCAAACTGGGAACTCCCATCTCCAAGTGTAGGCGTAGCCTCAGAGGCATAGCGCATGACACCTGAATCTTTAATTCTCCCAGGGAGAGAGTAGAAGCATCTTGTGCAATTAGGACCCGGTGGATCACTAGGATTTGGGAATTTTTTTTACATTTAAAACCCGTTCCTTTACCAAACCTCTAGTCGAGCTTTGTCTCAGACATAACTGCTAGAAATTGTATATTGTAAATTAAAAGCTGGGGGAAGATTTAAAATTAATTTTTCTCTCATCATATTTACACACAGTACTTGCATGTGATATGTGAGTGTGCTGTCCTAACTATGAAGGACATGGCCATACCCTTGTCTGGCCTATTTAATTGCCCCTGTGCTAGGGCTGCAACCAGGGTTTTTGTGTGATCTTAGCTGTGATGGATGTGGCACTCAACCTGTATGCTTCATTTACTTATGTAGGGCCAGGTTTTTAAAGGTATTTAGGCACCTAAAGATGCAGATAGGCACCTACTGGGATTTTCAAAAGCTCCTAGACACCCAGCTCCCAGTGATTTTAACACAGTGGACAGGCTAGCCAGCTCATCAGGGTTTCAGGGTTTATGTTGCTATGTGCACGGACATTCTACTGGACTGACCAACCTGGGGAATACCTGGTCAGCTGCCTATAATAGGAGTACAGGTCTTTTGTTTCCCCCTGGAAGGTGCTCCACAGTCACAGGGTACTCTATCTCTGTAGTGCTCCTATAGGGAAGCCCCACAAAGTCAAATTTGTATTTGAGTTCAGTTCCAGCAGGAGTTCTTACAGGTGCTGTTGGGAGTGTCCATGAGCTGAGGCAATAAGGTGCAGCTGAACCTAGAGTGCTCCGAAGCTTAAACGGGAATGGCTTGGCTACTTTTATACTGGAGAATGAGATCTATGTATGTAGGTATGCATGCCTGCCTAGATGCCAGGGCAAGGAGCTCTAGAAGCAGAAGAACTGTATTGGGTTAATAGAGAGTTCTGTCTGTGAAGTTGGCTTTTTTTTTTTTTTTTTAAATTTAAGTTGCATATGCCCAGAGATTGTGGTGGATCTTTTTGTTTGTATTCTTTTGGTTGAAGAAGAACTCTGTAAAATAAACCTGAAACTGCATATAGCTTAATTTTTTTATTTAATTTACTTTACCTGACAGGCCTCCTGCAAAAATAATAATAATTCCTGCTTTGTAAAACCTGATCCTCTACATTGCCTTTCGGTGGAGACCTTAAAAAGTGAGCTTCTGTCTGCTTAGATGTTATTCGTTTCCCTGCCCTTTTGGTCTAGTAGGGATTTGACCAAATGTACTCAGCCTAAATTTCCCCTCCTCTACTGAGGGCACGTCTTCACTAGCCACCGGATCTGCGGGTAGCGATCGATCTATTGGGGATCGATTTATCGCGTCTAGTGTAGACGCGATAAAATCAATCCCCGATCGCTCTGCCGTCGACTCCGGAACTCCACCGCAGCGAGAGGCGGAAGCGGAGTCGACGGGGGAGCGGCAGCGGTTGACTCGCTGCCGAAGTTGCATATCTTAGGTCGACTCCCCCCCCCCCATAGTGTAGACCTAGCCTGAGAGTACTGGGGCGGGAGGGTTGTTTAACTCTCTCCACAACAAAGAAAGCTGCATTTTGTTGTACAGACACATGCAGACACAGAGAGAAGGTTTTTAGGATCTTGTTAGATTAAAAGTGCTTTACAAAGAATGGGAGACCCTTTTGGTCTGGTCACCCTTGCCCACTAGAGCTGCTTGGAGCCTGGAATTCCCGTTTTGTGGGAAATTTGAAAATGTTTGAATGAATGAATGAAAACTCAAAATGTCAAATATTCCCTATGGAATGGGGGGTTCTGAAATTGGCTTTGGAAAAAAAGCAAAAAAACCCTTTTGTATTGATCTTTCTGAAATGTTTCCCAGGCTCTCAACCTGCCAGGGACTCCAGCTGCCCATCTTGTGGGATGCTGAGAAGCCAGGAGCCTGCAAGTCCAAGGAACGGGACTTCATGAGTATGTCTACACAGCAAGTGGCAGCCTGCAGCAATGAGTCTCAGTACCTTGGTCCATAGACTTGGGCTTGCAGGGCTTGCACCATGATGGTAAAAATAGTTGCATAGACTCATGCTTGGGCTCAGGCTTGGGCTGGAGCTGGGACTCGGAAGCCCAGCCCCTCCTTAGGCTTCCGAACCTGAGCTCCAGCCCGAGCTGCTACGTTTGCATCTCTATTTTTAAGAGACAGAGCCCGAGCCTGAATCTTTCAACCCAGACTCTGGGATTTGCTGCTGCAGGCTGACACTTGCTGCAGGAGATGTATCCCCCCAGGGTCCCAGTTCCATTGGCAGCCCACCAAGTGGGCTGCAGAGGAGACAGCTCAGATTGCAGGAAACCAGGTAGATTTCCCTCCAAAACCTGCATGATTTCTGTCCAAATTTTACTGAAAACGAAATGTTTCTGCAGAACATTTCAATTTTGACAAATCAGCATTTTACAATTTAAAAAATGCCATTGGAAAATTTCCTACCGGCTCTACTGCCCAATACAGCTGCAAAATAAATCTCCCCAGTTTACAGTCATCCAGTGCATTCAATCACACTCTATAGTAGTGGGAGGAGGCTGGGAGGGGCCATCTTTCCTTGCAGACATGAGATGGGTGGAGCTCTAAGTCAATTTATAAAACAACTTCTCACTGATGCCTGCCAGTGTAAAGACTGCAAACATGTTTCAGGAGCCACTGCCAGCTCATGTGCCAGTAGTACCATATGACTTGCTTGCAACAGAGACCAAAATGGCATCATGTGCCAGTTCACCTCAGGTAAGAAAGCCCTAACACCAAATTTGTTTAAGGTTTCAATTCAGATGTGTACAGCACAAAGCAGGTAATACGAGTCCTGCTTTATTATAGTATTTATGTACCAGCTGCTGTGCGTGATTCTTTCCCGACGGGAAGCACGACAGTATGTCCCAGCCAGAAGAGTGAAATCCTGGCTTCACTGAAATCAATGGCAAAATTTACATTGACTTCAATGCAGCTAAGATTTCATCCTTGATGTCTAAATGAGACATGGTAGCAGGCGATGGGGAAAGAAAAGGAAGGGAAACAAAAGAAGAGAGAGAGATTAGGAATTTGGATCATCTGTGTTGTCTTGTTTTGCATTTTTCATAGTTTTTATTTTAATTTTAAATATACGTAGAGGAAGTAGGAAGCAAAGAACTGAGATTTGAGATAGAAAAGCAAAACTTTTTTACAGGGTTAGTCTATAGGAAGCAGGTTTGCTGCTGCTTTGATGTCCCACAGCTGAAAGGAGTCTTCCTCCATTGTTTCATAGAAAAGGGTGGCACTTACATGGGGTTTCATACCCATCTTGCACCCCAGTTCTGCCAATTAAAGCATGTGTGTGCAAAATGACCTGGTAATAGGGACACCAGTGTGAGTATTGAAACATAGTAGGTCATAATGAATAGCCATTCTAATTTGAGGGTTCAGCATGGGTTACTGCAACGATGAACTCATGATAAAGCTTGACAATGTTTTTATTTTCCCCCCTTCTCTTTTCAGGATCTAAACATTAAAACAAATCCTTTGGGAAATGTCAAAACTGAGCATGGGAGTCAGTGTGCAGCGCAGGGGAATACTGAATTTAAGGTACTGTCAATTAGAGGATTTCAAAACCAAGCTCATGTAGCTGGAGGGAGGAAAGGTTGGGACCTAATGGCGTATCAATTTAAAGTGACAACTAGTGATAGCAAGTGAAACTCCCTTGGGTTTAGCATTTGAACCATCTTATTTAATTTGGGGAATTTCAAAATTGCTCTCTGTATTTCTCTTTGCATTTGATTTGATTAGGGTGACCAGACAGCAAATGTGAAAAATGGGGACAGCGGGTGGAGGGTAATAGGAGCCTATATAAGAAAAAGACCCCAAAATCGGGACTGTCTGTATAAAATCGGGACATCTGGTCACCCTAGATTTCATGCATGGAAAATGTCCCTTCTCTTATTACCTTCATTACTTATAAAAGATGGATTTTCGTCTCTAAAATATTTCTTGTTACTGACTCTGAGTCACATTCAGCACTGGTGTAAGTAGACGCCACCCCATCAGCTTCAATAGAGTCGCCTCTGACCATGTGTGTTACTTTCATGACATGGTGGTTAAAGGTCTTTTGGGTGCTTAAACCCTGATTTCCAAGATATTTGCTCACCCTCAGCTCTTCTGGAAGGAAAACCAGCATAACAAAGGACTTCAGAGGGAGGAAGGAATTTTGGATACATCAGTATTGCTTCTGGGATTCCTAGGAAGTCAGTGATGGATCCATTTTTGTACTTATTAGATGTCAGTGGCATTGGTGAGAGTTCTACTGGGGTCCGATTCCCAGGGTGAGGAGACATATCCACATTATCTCTGATTGAGCTAGTGCGCTAAAAATAGAGTGTAGTTGTTGCAGCACAAGTGGCAGGCGGGACTAGCTTGCCCGAGTACATGTCTAACATCTTGGACAGATATGTACTTGGGGCAGCTAGCCCGTTCCGCTGCAGCTACACTCTGTTTTCAGCACGTTCGTCAGAGCTGGCCCGGGTATGTCTCCTCAAGCAGGGAATCACACCCCCAGCTGAAAGTGTAGACATACCTTCTATTACACTGTTTGCTCTCTGTCTGTGCAGTAGTCAGCTGTAGTCAGCTCAAAACTGAATAAGGGGGGATTTAAATGAAGATCTAATTTAGGTTCAGCAATGGTATCCAAAATAGAACACAACTGAGGCCCCTAGAAATCAAAGAGACATTTGTTTCCACATTCTATGCAGTTAAAAAGTCTGAGAAAATCTGTGCTGTTAAATGTTGCAATACAGCTATTGTACTAGAGAGCTATTTGAATACTAACAAAACCATGATTTGTGACTGGAAATATCAGTTTGGTTTCTTGTGAATCACAAGTTGTTCATTATGTGGATGGTCAGCTGATATTAATGAAAATATTTATGAATTCTGGAAGTTTCACAAATGATTATCTGAAAAGTTACGCTGGAATTTCGGTATTCTACTGTTTAAAATGTTGGAGACATCCAATTGTGGAGCAGAAATAATGCCATTTGACTTTGATAACCAATCATGCAACACAACTAATGAATACTCAGAGCAAATTGATAATTTCACTGAACAATTTTAGCCTATATGCATGCTTATAAATAATGAACACGCACACACATCTGGATTTGTTTGCATATAACTTCTTAATCAAAAAAGGGTATTGAATTCATCACAAATAGTTTGACCAGCTGTAATAACCATATGGTTTGTTCAAAATGTCATCAATCAATTACAACAATGAAAGTATGCTTAAGGCACAAATTTTTACCGGGGTATTTGCAAGTGTAACGCAAAGGATAAATATAAGGGTAATTAACCACTGGAACAAATTATCAAAGGATGTGGTGGATTTGCCATCACTTGATATCTTTAAATCAATATTGAATGTCTTTCTAAAAGATATGCTATAGTTCAGCATCATGTTATTGGGCATGACTGGGAACCCCAAAGTGAAATTCTATAGAATGCAATGGAGAAGGTCAAACTAAACCTTCTCCATAGCAGATCTAAATTAGATTAAAATAATTTAGCATTAAATTGATGATACCCCAAAATTTGAAAGCATGGACTGTGATGGTTACCCAGAGCCTCTGGCAACACGAGCACGGCCTTCCAAGCCTCCGCAGGCCCTGCTTGCTCTTAACAGGTTAACAATAGGCATACTCCGGTGCTCAGAGTGTCTCCCTGGAGTGCCCAGCCCCAGATCCATTGGACACTCACAGAATTCCCAGATCCTCTGTTCCCACTGCAGCTTACCAGTACACTGCAGCTTACCAGTACGCTGAAGAACACAGCTCTGCATAACACGACACCTAGATTTGTTCATAAAGAAAGCAAATATAAGTTTATTTAACAAAGAAAAAGTCAAATAATAGCAAATAAAATATTAGAAACAAAGGGTTACATATAAAATAAAATCATGAGATGCATATCCGAACCTGAACTTAACTAACAAGACATTGTCATGTCATATAGAGCCAAAGCTCACCCAAAATCCGTCCAGTGTATTACAGTCAGGCTGTGACCTTCCGTTCATGAGACTCGCATGCTGTCTTTTTGACTCCTCAGTGGAAAGATACAGAGTTTATCTCTCTGTCTCTACAGTGATAGTCCAAAAAGCCATTGTCTTGCTTGCAAACAGGATAACCACCCACTGCTTGTGTTTTCCTGTCTAGGAGCTCTGCTGAGGACTTTGCAATCACTTGATTAGCATTTGGCTCAGTCTGTACTTAGGCATTCATTGTGAGTATACAATACTCAATTCACATGTAGGCAGATTGATAGATAAACATCTTCTGTGTGAAATAAACCTGTTCTCACTGTTTGGTGGCCAGTCCCAAGCCACAGATCTTAAGAACATAATTTTCAGTACATATACCAGAGGGGTAGCCATGTTAGTCTGAATCTGTAAAAAGCAACAGAGGGTCCTGTGGCACCTTTAAGACTAACAGAAGTATCGATACTTCTGTTAGTCTTAGGGTATGTCTACACTACGAGAGTAGTTCGATTTCACTTAAATCGAATATGTGGAATCGATATTGCAAAGTCGAACGTGTGTGTCCACACAAAGGACAGTAATTCGACTTTGTGAGTCCACACTAACGGGGAAAGCGTCGACATTGGAAGCGGTGCACTGTGGGCAGCTATCCCACAGTTCCCGCAGTCCCCGCTGCCCATTGGAATTCTGGGTCGAGCCGCCAATGCCTTCTGGGTAAAAAAATGTGTCGAGGGTGCTTTTGGGTAACTGTCGTCATCCGTCCGTCACTACCGCCCTCCCTCCCTCCCTGAAAGCGCCGGCGGGAAATCAGTTCGTGCACTTTTCTGGTCAGTGACAGCGCGGACGCCACAGCCCTGCGAGCATGGAGCCCGCTGCGACCATCGCTGCAGTTGTGTCCGTTGTCAACGCCTCGCAGCTTATCATCCACCTTTCCCAGAGGCAGATGCAGATAAATCGGGCGAGGAGGCTACGGCACCGCGGTGAGGGCCTGAAGTCTGAGAGTAGCACAGGCCTGTCAGAAAGCACGGGACCCCGCGCCGAGGACATCACGATGACAATGGGTCATGTGGATGTTGTGGAACGGCGATTCTGGGCCCGGGAAACAAGCACGGACGGGTGGGTCTGCATAGTGCTGCAGGTCTGGGATGAATCACAGTGGCTGCGAAACTTTCGCATGCGGAAGGGGACTTTCCTGGAACTTTGTGAGTTGCTGTCCCCTGCCCTGAAGCGCAATGACACCCGGATGCGAGCAGCCCTGACTGTCCAGAAGCGAGTGGCCATAGCCCTCTGGAAGCTTGCAACTCCAGACAGCTACCGGTCAGTCGCGAACCACTTTGGCGTGGGCAAATCTACCGTGGGGGTTGTTGTGATGCAAGTAGCCAACGCAATCGTTGAGGTACTGCTCTCAAAGGTAGTGACCCTGGGAAACACGCAGGCCATCATAGATGGCTTCGCCGCGATGGGATTCCCAAACTGCGGTGGGGCTATAGATGGAACTCACATCCCTATCCTGGGACTGGACCACCAGGCCAGCCAGTACATCAACCGAAAGGGCTACTTTTCAATGGTGCTGCAAGCACTGGTGGACCATCGGGGACGTTTTACAAACATCAACGTCGGATGGCTGGGCAAGGTTCATGACGCTCGCGTTTTCAGGAACTCTGGTCTGTTTAGACAGCTGCAGGAAGGTATTTACTTCCCGGACCACAAAATAACTCTTGGGGATGTGGAGATGCCTACAGTGATCCTCGGGGACCCAGCCTACCCACTAATGCCCTGGCTCATGAAGCCCTATACTGGCGCCCTGGACACTGAAAAAGAACTCTTCAACTACCGGCTGAGCAAGTGCAGAATGGTGGTGGAGTGTGCTTTTGGCCGTCTCAAGGGGAGATGGAGAAGCTTACTGACTCGCTGTGATCTCAGCGAAACCAATATCCCCATTGTTATAGCAGCTTGCTGTGTGCTCCGCAATCTCTGTGAGAGCAAGGGGGAGACCTTTTTGGCGGGGTGGGAGGTTGAGGCAAATAGCCTGGCTTCTGATTACGCCCAGCCAGACAGCCGGGCGATTAGAAGAGCCCAGCGGGACGCGCTGTGCATCCGGGAGGCTCTGAAAGCTAGGTTCCTGAGTGAGCAGGGTAACCTGTGACTTTTAAGTTTGTGTACAGAGAAGCTGAACCTGCCCCTGTTTCTTTACCCAGTCAATGTTGACTATCCTCTCCAGTTACATACCCCCTTCCAACACACCTTTAAAAATAAAATGACTTCTATTTTGTTAATGGACACCGTTTTCTTTATTACTGTTTTCGCGGGAATGTTTTAAACCTGGGACGCAGACTGTGGTGGGGAGCGGGTGTAGTGTACTGATGCAAATGACGCTTCTAAACTGCAGGAATGACAGGCTCCGCAGTGGTGGACTGGTTGTTTCAACGGAGCATGACAGCCCTCCAGATGGGGACTGCGTGTATGTGGTGGCTCTGTGACTTTGTGGCGGGGGGAGGAGGGTTACAGATCCCCTGCAGCGTGGCTCTGTGATCCAGGATAAGGGCCGCTGCATAAGATC